CTGGTAATCACCATTATACTTCTTGACTTTATGAATTTGCCTATTTTAAGTGTCTTATATGTGTAGAATCATACAATATTTGTATTTTTGTGATTGACTTATTTCACTTAGCTCAATGTTTTCAAGATTTACTCATGTTGTAGCATGTGTCAGTACTTCATTCCCCCCCCCATCTTTTATAGTGGTAAAATGCACACAATTTTCACCATCTTAGCCATTTTAAGTGTATAGTTCAGTGGTATTAAGTATATTCTGATTGTTGTGGAACCATTACCACCAACCATCTCCAGAATTCTTTTCATTTTGCAAAACTGAAACTCTGTACTCATTAACCAGTAACTCTCCATTCTTTCTTTCCTTGGCCCCTGGCAACTACCACTCTATTTTTTGTCTCTATGAATTTGTCTACTCTAGCTACTTCACAGAAGTGGAATCATATAGTATTTGTCCTTTTGAGACTGGTTTATTTTACTTAGCATAATGCCCTCAAGGTACAAACATGTTGTGGCATAATGTCAGAATTTCCTTGTGTTTTAGGAGAGAATACTATTCTATTGTGTGTGTCTACACACTCACACACACACACACAAGGGTTCTTCAGAGAGTTCATGGAAAATGTGTATTAAGAAAAAACTATGCACGAATTCCAAGCTTTTTGTGTACCAAAATGAACTCATACTCAATTGTTACAACATGTCTGGACAGATCTAGTATGAAGCACTAGGAAGGATAAGATATTAGTTTGAAAAGAGCCCTTGTCACAACAACATGAAGTCTGCTAAAATTGAAGCAGAAACAAACATTAAATTTATGGTGAAGCTTGGGTGGAAGAATAGTGAAATCACTAGCACTTTACACAAAGGTTATTGGGACAATGCCCCAAAGAAATCAGCAGTTTACAAATGGACAGCTCATTTTAAGAAGGGGCAAGACGATGTTGAAGATCCACAGTGGCAGACCATCCACATCAATTTGAGAGGGAAAAAATTAATCTTGTTCATGCTTAATTAAAGAAGATTGACAACAGCAGAAGCAATAACCAACACCACAGACATCTTGACTGGTTCAGCTTACACAATTCTTACTAGAAAATTAAAATTGAGTAAACTTTCCACTTGATGAATGCCAAGACCATTGCAGCCAGATCAGCTGCAGATAAGAGTGGAACTTTCCATGGAAATTTTGAACAAGTGGGATCAAGATCATGAAGCATTTCTTTAAAGAATGGTAACAAGAGATGAAACATGGCTTTGCCAGTATGAACCTGAAGACAAAGCACAATCAAAGCAATGGCTACCAAGAGGTGGGCTTGGTCCAGTCAAAGCAAAAGCAGACCAGTCAAGAATAAAGATCTTGGCGACAGTTTTTTGGGATGCTCAAGGAATTTTGCTTGTTGACTTTCTAGAGAGCTAAAGAAAGATAACACCAGCTTATTATGAGAGTGTTTTGAGAAAGTTAGCCAAAGCTTCACAAAAAAGTGCCCAGGAAGGTGTTACCAGAGAGTCCTTCTCCCCCATGACAATGGTCCTGTTAATTCCTCTCATCAAGTGAGGGCAATTTTGGGAGGGTTTTGATGAGCAGCTACCAGAGCCCTGATTTGGCTCCTTCTGACCTCTTTTTGTTTCCTAATCTTAAAAAATAATCTTTAAAGTCCTCTAGTGTGTGTGTGCACGCTATGTTTTGGGTATCCATTCATCCATTGATGGGCACTTGAGTTGCTCACATGTTTCAGCGAATGTGAGTAACGCTGTTAGGAACATGGATGTGCAAACATGTCTTTGAGACCCTGCTTTCAATTTTGGGGTATGAAAATGCTGGATCATACGGTAATTTTTATTTAATTGTTAGAGGAAACACCATACTGGTTTCTATAGTGGCACCATTTTTCTTTCTTACCGACAGTACATGTGGGTTCCTATTTCTCCATATTCTCAATTAACACTTGCAATACCTCATTTCTTTTTATGGCTGAATAATATTTAATTGCATGTACAGACTATATGAATTTTACCCACTCATCAGTTGATGGATATTTGGGTTATTTCTGCCTTTTGACTATTTTTAATAGGGCTGCTATGAACACTGGTGTACATGGTGTATGGTGTACACTGGTGTCCATTTTGGGGAATTATATTCCTTGGAGTGGGATTGCTGGCCCATATGCTTAACAGTTTGAGGAATCTGTAGGCTTTTAAAGGGTGTCTGTGCTCTGTAAGTAGCCTCTGGTAACCCCAGGTTTCTGAGCCGATATCCCTGGATGGGAGAAGTGGGGGGGGATCCTTCATCTCTCCAGTGTGCTTGTCTCCTACACCCCCACCCCTTTTGTTCTCCAGAAAACAGTTCTCTGAGCCTCTTTTACGCAGAGGTACAGGTAGCTGACAACGAAGAGGGTGCTGCTGTCCAGTGGAGCTCTACCGAGGGGACGAGATTTGAGCCGCTCTCAGTGTCCTGTGAAGGGGTGTTGTGGACAGTAGGGAGGTTCCTCCGGTCCTTTGCAATCTCACCGCTGATCTGGGCTGTGCCCGCCCACTCTGGCGGCGGCTCTGGGCTGCCTAGGAGTCCGGTGCCCCGGGGCGGGCACAGCCGGGCCGCGTGAGCACCGCGAGCGCCGGGTGGGCGCAGAGCCCTGCTCCGAGCGCGAGCGCCCTGGTTCCCGCCCGCGGCCGTTCCGGAGCCCGAGCCAGGAAACGCGCCGCCCGCCGGGCCCGGCCCCCTCCACGGTCGTCGCCGCCAGAGGCCGCCTCGGCGTCCCCAACACTCCGGCCGGGGAGGTCCCCGGCGTCCCCAGCCGCGCACGGGCCCGGGCGACCCCCGACGTGCCTCCGCTTTGACCCTGCTCCCCAGCGCCCCCGGAGCCCCGCGGGCCGGTCCGAGCACACCTACCCCGAGCTGGGCGCCCCGCGGCCCCCAGGGGCGGGGACAACGAGTCCGGGGCGGACCCGGCCAGGGGTGGCTTCGGCGCAGAGCCGCAGCGCCCGGGATCAGCCGCGCAACTCCCACCCGTGCCGGGAAAGGGTGCTCGCGGAAGACCGAGCGAGGGGGACCCGTCCGCCGCCCGCGGGTTTCTGGAAGCGGCGTCTCTAGTCCCTGGCTTCGGAATAAAGAAACCCGGACCCCGTCCGCTGGGCATCGGGCGCCGCAGGCACTGAGCGCGCCCTCCCGGGGATGCTCCGCGGACCCCACGCTGCACCCGCGGCCGGGGGTGCGGGGACTTCTGAGAGGGGAGGGGGCTTTGCAAGGCACCCACGCGTGTGCTCGTCTTCAGGAGAGCCAGGCTCCCCTAATACGGTCCTTAGGCGCAGCCGCCCGGGCTCCCAGGCGAAAGTTGGGAGCAGGTAAGGGCTGGAGAGCGCTCGGGTGGGGATGGGAGTGGGGTTCCTCCCTGAGAGGGGAGAATAAAGGAGAAAAGACTGCTTGACAGTTTCTCCCGGGATCCTTAATCTCCTAAGTTTCCCGCACCCCCAGAAGTTTCTATTATTCTTTGTTTTTAAAAACTGCTTTGAGCCTCGAGGTAGCCGCTTGTGGGGCCCCCCTCCAGAGGTGGTGTGCTTCTGCGATAGGCGGGGCCTGCCGGGAGTGAGGTCTGTCTGCCACAGAAGTGTGCTTTCAACCATGGATTCTGCTTCTTCCCTCTGACAGGAGCAGAGGGTAGAGGCTGAGCAGGACAGAACCGAGAGCTCAGAGGAAGGAAAAAATACAGGTAAGGAATTGGGAGAGAGAGGCAGCAATGGGGCTGAGCCTCACTGGGGTGCAGAGGGGCTTTAGCCCTAGCTCACCAAAGACAGGCTCCAGATGTCTTGCCTCTGAAGAGTGTGGGCAGCAGGTTTTCCTGGGGGTGCCTGTGTGTGTGGATCCTAGGCCTCTTCTTGGTTTCTCCCTTTCCCAGAAAGCCCAGTCTTGTGCTCTTCTCTTTCTCCTGTTCTCCTGACATTTAGGGTGCTCTTTAGACCCCGGCCCTCCTTGTGCACCCCAGCTCCCTTGTCTGCTGTCTTCAGGCTCTGGGAGGGACTAGGGGGAGAGGAGAGGGGACAAGGGGATTCTGACTTCCCCTCCGTCCCCAGCCAGACGGCTACCTCTCACCTTATGCGATGTGGTGTGGGTGAGTCTCTGTGTCAGGATTTCCCTCCCCCTCCTAGCAGCTGATGTGGAGGCCTGAGTGCTGGATGGTAACTCTTTGCAGTTCTAGGGTGTAACATGCTCCCTCTCCAGGGAGCATTGCGCTTTATAGACATTATTGATCTCCTGTCTGGTGGATGTTGAACCTCTGAGTTTTACCTCAGAATGCACAACCAGCCCAGGAGGAATTTTGCTCTCGGATCCCCTTTCTAACCTACTCAGCAAGCTATAGGCAGTGACTTCCACCTTGCAGCCTCTGCCTGGAGACAGGCCTTGATAAACACTATGCCCGGCTTCTAGGGTCACAGAAGATTTTGATGTGGGAACAGGAAGCCTGGTGAAGTGAGAGAAAGGTGGCTGTTTGGTAGCTCCGTGACTTTAGAGGCATGTTTTGCCAGAAGAAGACCAGCTCATGGAGAGCAGACGGGCTTGTCTCAAAGCCCTCCCTCTTCAATGGCATTTAAAGTAATAATTTCTTTTAGGTCACTGGGACGGAGTCATTGCTCCCACAGAATCAGGCTATTCCACAGGAACAGAGTTCAGGCAGTCAGGGCAGTGAGTAGAGTTTGGAGCTTGTTTTCTTCAGCCTCCTCAATCCCAACTTTGGTCTTTGAGAAAAAGTGTAGCATTTTGAAGTCTTCAGTGGAACAGAAATACACTGAGTGAGTGCCTGGTTGTCTCTATAGCAATCCATTTTTCCCTTAATTGAGAGAGTTGTGGCTTTCACTCGTTTGTTTTCTCTCACTGAGTTCCTTTATTTCCACTCCATCACCCTGTGTTCACTCTGAGCAGGTGGCTAATGGGTCTGCTTAGGTTACAGGATGATTTTAAATTTGGACAGGTTTACTCCAACATGTAGCCAATCGTTTGTATGTCTTTCAGAGGCTTAGGTTGAAACGTGAATACTGTACCGAAGGATGCCGGCAGGGACACTGACTCATTAAGGAGAGCTGAGTGTCAGCAGAGAGGGGAGGAGGCAACCTTGCAGGCATTGCCAGGGGAATTCCCAGCAGTGTCACTCACGGCACTCCCTGGCCAGATGGAGACCACCATGGGGGTCATGGATGAGAATGCCACTAATACCTCCACCAGCTTCATTTCTGTGCTTGACCCCAACGGGGCACAAGCTGCTTCCTTCCCATTCACCTTCACCTATGGAGATTATGATACGCCCTTGGATGAAGATGAGGATGTGACCAATTCTCGGACATTCTTTGCTGCCAAAATTGTCATTGGCATGGCCCTAGTGGGCATCATGCTGGTCTGTGGCATTGGCAACTTCATCTTTATTGCTGCCCTGGCCCGCTACAAGAAACTGCGCAACCTCACCAACCTGCTCATCGCCAACCTGGCCATTTCTGACTTCCTGGTGGCCATTGTCTGCTGCCCCTTTGAGATGGACTATTATGTGGTGCGGCAGCTCTCCTGGGAGCACGGCCACATCCTGTGCACCTCTGTCAACTACCTGCGCACTGTCTCTCTGTATGTCTCCACCAATGCTCTGCTGGCCATCGCCATTGACAGGTGAGCATAGCAGGGGCAGTAGGAGCAACAAATGCGGTCAGGGAGGAAGGAGCATTGCAACTATCCCCTCCTTTACTGCAGTGGCAGTTGATGAGTGGTGTCTGTTTCCCCAGATATGGATGCATATGGGACTCAAATGCTTGCCCATTGACTCAACAGTGAGAAGAGTGTTCCTTTCCCAGCTTAGCTCAGGCAGGAGGCGGCAGAGCCCTTTAGAGCTGGATGGTTGGAAGGTTTGTGATCCCTTTGCTCTGGACGAGCTCCTAGATGTTGTTTGTGTCTGTTCAAGGTCTAGAGTAGACAGGCAAGAGGAGGTGTTGAGAGACAAGTTTAAATTCCAGGCAGTTATCTCTTGAGTCAGCTTGGAAATTTTGAGGAAGGTTTCTATCTCATCAAGGCTTCCTCTAAATGACTTTCTAGTGCCAGCTGGTTTTTAAATAATATTGAGGGATTTGTTATGAAAAAAAGGGAACATATACTTGCTTGCTTTTTGTTGTTTTCATGTTGATAACTGTGGACCTTCTCATCCATTTGCATACAACAGTGTGAAGACCTGTTTCTAGTGATGGTAAATAAAATCAATAAGAACATCCTTTGCATACCTTCCTTAAATTTAGTCTTTTCATTTAATATAAACTTGTGCTAATAGGCCAGGAAGGTCTTTGTTTCGTGAGGGGCAGTCTTTGCAAACTTCTCTGCCCACAGTTGGACTGTCATTACAAAGCACTCGGTCACAGTCTAGAGACTGTTACCCTGAGGGTCAAATCAGCTCTTTGTGTACTTGGATCTGAACAGCTGTTCTCTGTCCCTCAAGTCAGAGATCCTGAGGCACGCTTTCCCTGTCCCACAGCCTCAGAGTTCTGGGAGGATTTGACCTGGCTCTGACAGTTAGGGCATCCCAGGACTGTGTCCTAGGGTGGAACATGGTTAATAGTAGTGTTTTCTGAAGCCAAAGGCAGAGTAACCAGGGCAAGGATACCCAGAAAAGGAGAAAAAGTTACTGAGGAGCTTGGTCTTAAACCCACTGAGGGCTGGAACCTCTACCTCCTTTCACCAGGGAAGGGTGTCAGGGAGTTAAACATTCCTTGGTCTGTAGAAGGTGCTCAGAGGTGCCATTCATGCAGAGGACCACTTTTTTTTGGCCAGGGTCCTCCACTTGAGTCGCGGAGTCCCATGGCATTTTGTCCACCTAAGAAAGGACTCTGGGTGAGCCAACAGAAATAGCAGGAGGAGAACAGTCAAGCAGAATCTTTGCATCCCATGTTCCCTTCAGAGCTGCTTAAGGAAATGCTCCAGGGACTTTATCTTGAACTTTTCTGAAAATAGAAACTGCCACCTTCTGTCTTAGCACAGGAACAGGACAAAGCATATGGTGTCATAACCTGAAGTTTCATGCTAGCTAGATAAATGTTCCCAGAGGGTGCTCTCAGCTACTAAAAGTGGGCTACCCAAAAGTAGGGGGGTGTCTGCTGTGGGATGGGACTCTGCTCCTTGGGTGAGATTCATCTTACCACATAGGGGCCCACTTGTTGAAAGGGGTAAAGGTTGTAAGAAAGAGTAGCTTAGAGGGGAAGGATAAACTTAAGACATTGGCTATTTGAACATGTAAGAGGTGATGTCTATGTCAATGATATCTCAATCTACTGTACTCATTCAAGTTCATATCCTGCTTTTGTACCCAACTCAGTTCGTCTGAAATACTGCAGGCATTTTTCTTGCAGTGTGAGTTATACAATGCAAATTAGATACAGTATTGAATGATGAATTAGGAAACATGCTTTGCCTTGTGGGGACTGCCACCGTTTAGAGTGGGGTTGTGATCAGAAGCCTGCACCCAGACGTTGGAGGATAGCACTGTGTGCCTGTGCTGGGCCACCCAATGGTCTTGGCTGACTGACTGGTGGCTACCATGCATGGAGTTCTTTCATGGATGCTTGTGATCTTTGTTTTAAATTATTTTTATGTGTTACCATCTAATTTCAATTTTGTGGTCTAAGAATCATTGACTTTTGTCTGGTCTCATGTGGTTGTTCAGGATTTGATTAGTAATTTGGGGGTTTGATTTGGTTAGTTTTGGGCAACTAATTTTTTAAAATCTTGTTTTAACCGATGCACTTACATACAGTTACACAAGTGCCCTTATTTTTGTGTAATTAAATTTCTGTAGTTCTGCCTGGGTTTAAATTCCTGCTGTATCACCTGTTAGGGGTGGGGGCTTATTTTAGTTATTTGACCTCTTTCTGCCTCTGTTTTCTCATCCATAAAGCGGCGAGAATAAGAAACCCAAAGTATTGGATTGCTTTGAGGATTAAATGAAACAGTATATGTAATTGTCTAGAGAAATGCTAACAACAGAGTAAGCATGAAATAAACAGTGATTGTTATTATTCTTAAGTTAACCTTTATAGGAACAACAACAACAGATAAACTAATGAATATTTACGATCCACTAACTTCTTTGTTTTCATGGAAATATTTGGTCTTATGATGTGATTTTTTAAAAAAGTAATTCAAATTTCTAAGCAATATCACAGTGGAACTATTATCTTTTCTACGAATGGATTTCTGGTTCTATTGTTGTTCCTCCAGACATCCAAACTAGAAAGTCTCCTTTGCTGGTCACTCTCTCCTTTTCACCAAGGTGGCAATACCCACCTTGTTCACTCCCGGCTGGACTGTCTCCTCTTGGTTTTCCTGCCTTCGGTGGCTCTTGGTTCTGTCCATCTGCCAAGGCTACTCCCCTCACAGTTCATCCTAAACTTTCATTAATTCATTTAAACAATGCATTCTTATATAGTGGCTATCATGTGGCAGACACTATTCTAAGCACTGGGGATATGATTGATGATAAATAAGACAAAAAAGCTCCTTGGCCTCATGGAATTTAGACCCAAAAGATGGAGAGAGGTAGGAGTCAGGTGAACAAAAAAGGCAAGTAATTTCAGAACCCTGAACATAGACACATACATAGAAACAAATACATCAAGAGTACTGAAGGTGGGACCCTAATTCTAGGTGAATGCCAGGAGAAGTGTCTCTGAGAAGACATCTGAACCCATCTCCAAATGATGAGTGGAGGAAAAAACTCAACTTGTGAAGACTGGGAGAAAGCATTCCAGACAAGGAAAATTAAAAGTGCAAAGGCCCCGAGGCAGGAACAAACCTGATGGGTTCTAAGAACAGAGAGAAGGCCCTTGTGGCCTGAGGGAAGTAAGCAGGACTGCAGTCAAATTAATCTTTTGTCTTGAACATGTCTTTCCTCTTGATTAAAAGACCTCTAATAACTCCACTGTCTACAAAGTATGACTCCAAAACCTTTCCAACCTTTTATTATCTAGCCCCAGACTGCCTCCCAGGTTCATGCTAGGTAAAAATACTTAGGTTCTGTTTTCCCAAAAAGCTTGCAATTTTTTTTTAGAGCCGTCACCATGGCTCTTCACATTTCTATTCACCCAGTGCTGGGTACATGATGGAGAAAGTTTCATGAAAATTCTATTAGGTGCCCAGAATTCCCATACAGCAAAAGGTTATAAAAGAAGTAACACATACTCATGGCTCTTGGGAACTTACCATCTCGAGTCGGGGTGGAGGATGAGGGAAAACTAATACTTGTGAAACAGTTAAAAAGTGAAGAATCATAAATAAAATTTAGAGAAGAGTGAGATCATCATGTACTGGAGCAGTCAGAGAAGGCTTCCTGGAGAAGGTGGCCTTTTAACTGGCCTTCAGCAAATGAAGATCAGCAAAGGAGTGGCAAGTTTATTTAAGAAAGTAGAACAGCATTTGCAAAGGCCTAGAGGTACCTTGGGGAGGTATCTTGGGCAGGGTAAGAAACATAAGTAGAGTAGAAGTAAGAAAGGATAGGGTCTTATCCTGGAAGATTTCAAAATGCTGGCAGTGGGAGTCAGGCCTGATGGCAGAAAGGAACTATTAAAAAGTCACGAGAGAACTCTTCCCCGCCCCCAGGTCTGGGTTTCCTCTTTGATGTGGAGATACCTGCACTGTCCTTTAGGTGTATCCCTCGGATCCCACAGCATGTGGGGCACAGTGAGACCCTCGCTTTTACTCAGAATCCTGGGGAAACCAGTTTGTCTGTGTACCTGTTGGAAGTCTCTCCTCTTCTGTCTTGATGAGTTCAGCTAAGGCTTGAGCAACCTCGCCCAGCCTTATGAAGCACACTTGTCCCTAGTGAACTCACTGCTCAGGGCTGCTGGCCCAATGGAGCAGATTGTGCATTCTATTCCCAGCCCACGGCCAGCCTAGCTCCTGGGACCACTGTTTTCATAATTAGACCTGGGGCTGGATCCTGGGGATGAGGAGGGAGCCCAGATGCTTTTTGCTTCATCACCCAGCCCACTATTATCATACAGTTACTGCCTGGACATTTATTTGTTCAGCAGCCTTTAATCCTTTTTCTCTGGGAACTGTTGGCTCTAGATGAATCTGGACCTAAGCCACTGTGGTGGAAGATGCACAGGGCAAGCCAAGGGCACACTCATAAACAAAGGAGAGTAGCTGCCAGTTGTCTGATCCCTCCTTGGAACATCGATAGGTAGAAAACAACTGTGATGGAGAGGAAAGAGAAAGGCGGTTGGTATGCCAGGAAGGCAAGAGGAAGAAGCATTGGAAAAAGAAGGGACAAATAGCATATTGGAGAGGCCACCAGATTTGCAGCAAGATATGGGTCTGAGTTACGGTTCTGTCAATTTCTAGCTGTGTAGACTTGGGCAGGTTATGTGATTTCTCCAAGCTTCAGTTTACTCATCTGTAAAATGGGCATTGTCACTGTCTTACCTATTTATCAGGGTTGGAATTATCTAATGAAAAAGTGGATTTGAAAATGCTCTGTAAATTATAAACTTCTTTACAAATTTAAGTAAACATTACTAACATTAGAGTTCTGGAGTTCTGATCCCAGCAAAGCCAAGGTGGATGAAAATTCTTGAAACAGTTTTCTGCAATTTGCCTATTGGTAAATGTATCAGGAGGACTTCTTGCATAGCTCATGGCACTAACCCTGGAGATGGAATTAGGGTGGTGTGGAGGATGAAGACAGGATGCGATAACTATCTGATGGGTCATCACAGAGTACCACGAAGATTAGTTTAGATGTCAATCCAATAAATCAGAAAGTAGGAGACAACTAATGCAGTATTTGCCAATAACAGATACAGAAAAATTTCTGGATATAAGAATAGCTCCGGGAAAAAAATATATTTTAAGATACTAGCTTGCTATTATTTACATGCAATGTCTCATTGGAACCTCTCAGCACCCAGGTAATATTCCCATTTTACAGAGGAGGAAACTGAACCTGCAGGGCTAAGAAAAATGACTCAGATTCACATAGCAAGTGTGTGGCAAAGCTGGAATTTGATTCTTGGTCTTCTGAGTCCTAGGCCAGTGTTCTCTCGCACATATTCACTGAAAACACTCAGTTTGAAACATCATAAAGGTTTAGAAGTTGCTCCTGGGAAAAGAAGGAATATAATTAGATAGTGAACATCTATATAATGGCAAATATGAATATAAACGTTTTCTTTGGCAGAGTAATCAGCAGAATGTGGTAAGGTAGACAGAGCAAGTGAACCTGTGAGAGCGGAAATTCTAAACTCTTGGTTTTTGTCATGAGTCAGAGTGAGTTTGATGTCCTCCTTACATCAGGAGCACTGTGGTTTTTATGAAGGGCTCACGCCCGTGCATTGACAACCTGCAGACATTCCCTGTTTACCACTTGGCGCCCAGGAGTTTGACGAGTGTCAGGGATGGCAGGCAGCTGGGTGTTCCCAGAGTAGACACAACCCATCCAGCTTCATCTAACATGTGGGAGCTAGAGGGAGCCGGAGTCTCACTCCTGTGAACTCTCCAAAGGACATCCATGGGTTTAGCTGCCTGTGCTGTGGGGGAGGGACAGAAATAGCAGAAATGCAACCTTGAAAAAGGGAAAAAAATAAGGAACCTCTTTTCAAATAAAAATTCCAAGAAAGATGACCTCACAGGGATCATTTCAAAGGAAACAGAATTTGTTTGGCTTTCCTTCAGGCCCTGTCAAATTTGCTTTGGGCTCTACCAGAGATAAGCTGTGGACACGTGAGAACGTGTTTATTTCCAGTGTTGACTAGTCAGTCCCTCCCACTTCACTTCCCATCTTTCTCCTTCTCCAACTTCCACCCCCTGCCAGCCACGGAATGTCTTCCAGGAAACCGGAGCTCTCTGGGTAAGTGTGTGCACTCTCTGGGAAGGACGCTATCAACTCTCATACCGCACAATGACTCACATCCCCCCGAAAGTGCTCTTTCTTCATTCCTGGACCACTATGGTAACAGCAGTGTGGTTTTTTCTTTTTTGTTTTTTGTAAGAAAAGAAGCAGTATCTTTTACTGTCTGGTGCTTTGTGGTTAAAAAATTACATTCATGTGTATTTGCAATTGATTTTCACATCGACTCTGAGGTAGGGTTAAATGTTTTCTATCAGGGGACCTGTACTATATGACCTTGAGAAAGTCACTCATCTCTCACTGGCTTCCATTTTTCTACCTGGAAAATGCGATAGAGGGCCATATGCTGTTCCTCCACCTTTGCATGCAAAGCAATAATTTTTTAAATGTGGAATGAAGAAGACACTTTGCCTACTGCTTCCATTGGAAAGAGCAGATTCTCCCAACAACTTTTTGGAATTATCTTCCCCTTTTAGCTCTAAACTGCAAGGTAATTAGAATGAGTGACTTAAGAAGAGGAAGGAGCTGGGAGCAATGCCAGGCTAGAAATGATGGAAGGTGTCATTACATTGAATAATAATTTTTGCCATTGTGGAATGTATACTTGGTTTTAAACTGCCAGGTGTAGTGCATGCATTATCACAGTTGATCTTTAAAAGCAAATAAACAATATTTTTGCAGATCAGGAAACTGAGGTGCAGAGAGATGAAATGAAACATGCCTGAGGTTTCATTTCTAACAACTGGTTAGAGGTGGGGTTGGGGCTTGCTTCGTCTGCCTTTTTTAGATGCCCACATACTACTGGACTTTTCCTCCACACATACAGTTCGGTTACCCTTCATAGTGTTGCAGAATGAAATGATCTCCCAGTACTTCCTCCTTACAGCAGCTACCTCCATTTGTGTTCTTGTCCTAGGTATCTGGCCATTGTCCACCCGCTGAGACCACGGATGAAGTGTCAAACAGCCACTGGCCTGATTGCCTTGGTGTGGACAGTGTCCATCCTCATCGCCATCCCTTCCGCCTACTTCACGACTGAAACAGTCCTCGTCATCGTCCAGAGCCAAGAGAAGATCTTCTGCGGCCAGATCTGGCCTGTGGACCAGCAGCTCTACTACAAGTCCTACTTCCTCTTCATCTTCGGCATTGAGTTCGTGGGCCCTGTGGTCACCATGACCCTGTGCTACGCCAGGATCTCCCGGGAGCTGTGGTTCAAGGTGGTGCCCGGGGTCCAGACGGAGCAGATCCGCAAGAGGCTGCGCTGCCGTAGGAAGACGGTCCTGGTGCTCATGGGCGTCCTCACGGCCTACGTGCTGTGCTGGGCACCCTTCTACGGCTTCACCATCGTGCGCGACTTCTTCCCTGCCGTGTTCGTGAAGGAGAAGCACTACCTCACTGCCTTCTATGTGGTCGAGTGCATTGCCATGAGCAACAGCATGATCAACACCTTGTGCTTCGTGACCGTCAAGAACAACACAATCAAGTATTTCAAAAAGATCATACTGTTCCACTGGAAGTCTTCTTACCATGGCGGTAAGTCCAGTGCAGACCTGGATCTGAAAACGACTGGGATGCCTGCAACCGAAGAGGTGGACTGCATCAGACTAAAGTAACCCCGTGGACCCTGCCGAGTTTAAACATAAGATGGGATCTCTGGGACTCTGACCAGTGTGCTTGGATGTACACCACCCACCAGGAACCCTGGGTTTGCTGCAGAGTGTAGAGTCAATGGACAGCTATGTGAACACTGTGTTCAAGGAGCTTGGAATTTCTAAAACGCTTGTACTATCACCAGTGGTGATTGTTGAATGTCTAATTTGTGCACCACTAGGCAGTGGTGAAACCTACGTGTGTTTATGGCATTTAGCTGACAAAATGAGATTGGCATAAAACCAAGGAAAATGTTGTAGTATAGAATGTTGGGAATAAGGGGGGTCCCAGGAGGAAAATGGAGTAGGTATCTAGGACTGCAGTACGTGTGTTCATGGTGTGAAAATATCTCTGGACCATCTCAGCTACTCATCAGTCACTGACCTAGCCCATCTCTGGGAATGTTCTTAGGCTTTAGTTCACGCCTAACATCTGCAAGACTGGAGCAAGAATTCAAAAGAGATTCCTGGCTCTTTCTGCAGCCTTTCTCTGACCATGCCTAGTTCTGACTCTCACTGTGGGGAGCCTTGCATGCATGCGCATGGACTCTCCAGTGTTAATGGCCAAGTTCTGTGCAAATGATTTCCCCCACACTGCTCTATGACCTCGCAGGACTCTGCACGTGCATGGTAAAGATCATCATCAGGAGGATGGCCTTGAGGAAGAAGCCACACAGACCATAGACACCATTTTGGCCAGGGAATTATGGGGTTCTGAGTACCTGAAGCAAGTCTAGAGGGGAAAGCCTGGGATCAGGGTGGACGCGTGCCACTGACTGCACGGACTTTTTGTTCCTGGGGCATGGGAGGTGCAGGTAGAAGATAGTCAAAGCAGGACCTCTGGAAGCATGTGGCTCAGGGCAAGGGCTCAGGCTCTCCAAGCGTAAGGATGATACTGCTCCCACCTCTGTTATTCTGACTTGGATAAATTAGACTTCCCCTTAAGTCCTTCCCTCCCTTCTCATGTCTCCAAGCTTGTGAAGCATAGACTCTTTGAAAACAAACTCAACACCTCATGGATGTGGCCATCAGTCATTTTTCCATTTTCACCAGCTCTCAAACATAAGTGAGGAAGAGTTTCCTCCTAAGCAGACAGCCTGATAAGGTACCCTCATTGGTATGATTTGAAGGAAAAATTTATCACTAGAGCCTGAATCCCATCTTAATCATTATTTCTTTAAATTAAGACTTGCTTCTCTTTTAAAATGGAGGTACTCTTAGAAGGGATATGCTGCCACATTTCCAGTCCTCAGTGTGAATGAAGTCATGTGATCCAGTGGTAGGGGGACACAGGTCAGATGCAGCTAACTGAGTATGGGAGAGCCCTGGGCATCCAGGAAAGAGGGGACATGCAAATGGGTGGTGTTGGGCCCAATAGTGAACTTCAGTGACTCCAAAGGCTTGCTGAAGGTTCATCCCACTTCCCAACCTGCCTCCTTTGTTTGGTGTTTTGAAATTTGGATTTTGGTATTTTGGAGCCAGAAGACCTGAGATCCAGCCTTGGCTCTGTTGCCTGTGTATCCTAGGGCAAAGACTCTCGGAGAGGTCAAAGATAATACCTGTGAGACCTAAATGATGGAGTGGCTGTGAGGAGCCAACAAGATATGTGGGAAAATGCTTTCAACCACAAAAGCAGTCAAAATAATAAACTAGGAACTGTGTATGCTGTGCCTGGACAAGGAGAAATCTGTTATGTTGCCTTATGTTCCTAGAAATCTCACCATCTCCCTCTTTTATTATTCATTGTGTAAATGATTCCTTTGTACTTCTTAGCAGTGCCGTATGCATTATGTTCCTAATAGCATGTGGATACTAACAAGGTCATGAGATTTGGTGGCAGATACATAAAGGAAGTGGTGGATGGATCTCTAGCCAGAAGATGAGTTCAGGGTTTTGGAAACTCCAGAATCAGCTTCTTTGTGATCATGGAAGTTTTGATCTTCCCATGCCTGTTTCCAGCCAGCATGTACCTGGGCAATGTGATAGCTGTTCCTCAGTCTGTTTTTTATGCTCACAAATGAGCTGCAGAGTGGACTTGTCTTCTTATTTTACCCTACAGCAACACATTTATAAGGCTATTTAAGTAACACACTTATGTGGCGTTTCACCCCTCTAAATATAGTCAACTCAGTCGGGCTCGGTGGCTCAGCCTGTAATCCCATGCCTTTGGGAGGCCGAGGTGAGTGGATTGCCTGAGCCCGTGGGTTCGAAACCCGCCTGGACAGCGAGACCTCATCTCTACAATAAATCAAAAAATCAGCCGGGCGTGGTAGCACACGCCTGTAATTCCGGCTACTTGGAAGGCTGAGGCGGAAGGATCGCCGGAGCCCAGCAGGTTGAGGCTGCGGTGGCCGGGAGTGGCCACTGCACTCCAGTCTGGGTGACAGAGTGAGACTCCAACTCAAAAAATAAATAAATAAATAAATATAGTCAACTCTATTTTTTGGCAGAAAAGTTTTTTTGTTTTTTTCTTTTTTTTGAGTTGGAATCTTACTCCATCACCCAGGCTGGAGTGCAGTGACACACTCAATGGCCACCCCAGCGTCAACCTACTGGGCTCCAGTGATCCTTCCGCCTTAGCCTTCCAAGTAGCTGGAACTACAGGTGCATGCTACCATGCCCGTCTAATTATTTTATTTTATTTTATTGTAGAGATGAGGTCTCACCAACTAGCCCGATCTGGTCTTGAACCTGTGGACTCAGGCAGTCCACTCGCCTTGGCCCTCCAAAGTGCTGGAATTACAGGCTGAGCCACTGAGCCCAGACAGAAAAGTTTTTATTTTATTTTATTATTTTTATCTTTTTTTTGAGATGGAGTCTCACTCTGTCACCCAAACTGGAGTACAGTGGCACGCTGCCTGCCACCGCAGCCTCTACCTGCTGGGCTCCGGCTATCCTTCCGCCTCAGTCTTCCATGGAGCCGGAACTACAGGTGTGTGCTACCACACCCAGCTAATTTTTGATTTATTGTAGAGATGAGGTCTTGCCAAGTTACCCGGGTGGGTCCCAAACCCACGGGCCCAGGCAATCCACTCACCTCAGTCTCCCAAAGGGCTGGGATTACAGGCTGAGCCACCGAGTCTGGCCTTTTTTTTTTAAATAGTTACTTTATTTCCCTGGAAAGCACATTGCAGAAACCTATTTATTTCTTCCCATTCATCAGTCAGCAGACTTATCCTACAACTTAGTCGGAAAACTCTCAGAGAATAAAAACTAACTAAAAGATTAGTCTAAACCAAAACACATTGAAAGGTAATTCTTATTTATTTTTAAAAATAAAGCTATACATTGCATTCTAAAATCTTGAAAGTTTGTTTTTGGATTAAAAAGTGATAAAATGGCATAATTTATTGTCATTATGTTCACTATTTTCATTAAGAATGCTAATGAGTTGACTATATTAAATAGGAGCTTTTGATATATGACAACTAAACCCCTTTCTGCTTTTCAGCCTAAAATGTATCTATTTTTCAGAGTTAACTATCTGTAATATTTCTAGATATTAGTATCTGCTCGTGATTTTATAATGAATAAAAGTGTTGTGTTGTTATCAAGTGAAATACAAATATATGTATATATAAGAAATCATTGAGCATAGTGTTTCATAATTTCTACCCCCTCCCCATCCTTCTCCTGGTTATAGTGTGATGGTTCTGGGTGAGCACTAAGTAGATTCTAGGATCACATGAATTGTGAGAACGGTGCTAACTCATGCTCTTATTGCCAACAAACCTTCCCTCTCCCTCCTGAAGAGATTTGACTGATTTATATATTCTCTTCCTGTAAGTCTGCTCTAGTAAAACCATGAATACTTTTTAGCATCTGAGTGCCAAGATTTGAAATCTGAGGACCCATTTATGCCTATTATAAAAGCTAAAGTTCAATCTTTGAATAGACTTAATACCTAAACACAAAATGTAAACAAGAGACCAGCCTATGATATACCATGCTGTATTCCAGTTCATCAAATTGGCTGCCCAGCTGGCAACTTCTTTAAAAACTGAGGGTAAGCCTGGCAAGGGGACACCCATGCTTGTGTGTTTCAGTATGCAAAGAAATTTGCACATTGTTTTAAACAGAAGGATAAAGATGTGATTTTATAAAATCAAACTGTTTCCATAACTAAAGTATAAGAACAGATTTACGGCAAAGCTTTTGGGGATTTGTCCTACTGAGTACATGTTTAAAAAGTGATTTCTTAAATCAAAGACACTAAAACAAGGCAATGTGAGGATCACCATGGCAAGCCCTGAAGCATGAAACAAGTTTCATGCTCATTATGGAAAAGAATGTCAAAGAATTTGTGAAACCACCAAAAGATTATAAATATGAGTCCTGTTTCTTGAAAAATATAATAAATGTTGGAGTGTATCCACAGAAAATGAGTCTAGTTCCCCCTCCTAGAGACTGTGAGAATATCAAATTCAAGCCATCATTATTTCATCATTTTATGGTTGATGAAACCGAAGTCCAGAATGGGGGAGAGATGTGTCAGGGTCACACAGCTGGTGACCGTGCATGCCAGGGCCAGAACCCAAGGCTCCTGAAGCTTAGTTCAGGACTCTTCTACCACAACATTCCTGGGTGCCGAAAGCATCAAAATCTTGGAAAGGAGAGGATCATTTCCAAGAATCCTTGAGATGACTGTTCAACCCCAGCCTGGGCTTCTCTGGAGACCCTTACTTAAGAAGTTTAGCAGAAACATTCCTAGTTCCTTTGCAAGCCAAGTTTAGCTTATTCTACCTCTGGGAACTCACATCACAGACATGGAGGCCAGGAGATTTTAAGGAAGAACTGCTAAAAAATGTTTACAGATGCTTTCTTTACCTTGCCTAGTTGGGCGTCTCCAGGAAGCAAAAAGGAAAGATACTAGGACCCTGCTCATGAGAGCAACTGCCCTCCTTACCTAGGAAAGCAGAGGAGAGAGAGAAAGAAGCCATGCTTGGCTAAATGTCCTGGTGAAT